AAGATGAGTTCAACAACATGTCGTGCCCGAAATTCGTTTAGGTGGGGATGCAGAGGGTTAAAGCTGAGACCTTTGCTGAGTACAAAATGTTCAGCATTGGAGAGCGGAAGGTTACGAGGGATGGTGAATACCTGACAGGAGGTAGAGTTGGGGGAGGGGATGGAGTCAGAGGGAAGGAGAGGGGAAGAAGATTCCAGAGTCATGGGTATCTGAGTTGTTGCATCTTGTGGGCCTTGATGCCTGAAGGAAAAGATAAAGTTTCTGGTTAGCCTGGCAAATGAGCCGCAAGTTGAAGTGAAAATGCGGAATGGTGCAGAAGTGAGCCAGCATGATGTGATGCTGTAGGAGAGAAAGGTCGAGAATGAGTGTGTGACGCCTCATGGCACTGAGTGTGGATTTCAGGATGCGGCGAGAGCAACTGTCCATGGAACGTTGAACATCAGAGATATACCTGTGATCCTGCATGGATCCAACAGGTTTATTTGAAATCACAAGCTTTCAGAGTGCTGCTCCTTCATCAGGTAAAGCGGAGGTAAGTGCACAGGCACAGAATTTATATATCCTGCCTGGCGATTATTGTGCAGTGACCATTCATCCGTTGTCATAACGTCTGCATGGTCTCGCTGATATACCATACCTCGGGGCATCCTTTCCTGCAGCATATGAGTTAGACAACATTGGCCAATTCACCAGAGTGCCTTGTGTACATGGTGGATGGTGTTCCCATGTGCGATGGTAGCACCTGACATGTCTTGCAGAGGTTGCCGTTGTAGGGTTGGTGTGGTGTTGTGGTCGCTATTCTCCTGATGGTTGGGTAGTTCGCTACAAACAATGGTCTGTAAAAGATTTGGTGGTTGTTTGAAGGCAAGAAGTGGGGGCGTAGTGATGATCTTGGCGAGATGTTTGTCATCATCGATGACATGTTGAAAGGCTGCGAGATCATGCTGTAGTTTCTCCGCTCTGGATCAGTGTTGGACAACGAAGGGTACTCTGTTGGTCATGTTCCCCAGCTGGGGAACAACTTCAGTGGTTAAGGAACAAAAACACAAGTTGCTGGAAAAGCTCAGCAGGTCTGACAGCATCTGCTTCAGAACTTCTGAGGAAGGGTCACCAGACCCGAAATGTTAACTCTGAGTTTTTCTTCACAGATGCTGTCAGACCTGCTGAGCTTCTCCAACAACTTCTGTTTTTTGTTCCTGATTTACAGCATCCGCAGTTCTTTTGGTTTTTATTCAGTGGTTAAGGACATTCAGCCTCCGATCTTCGGAGAAGCATCCTCCAAGGTGGCCTTCAAGACAACACAGAATCACGGAGCAGAAACTAATAGCCAATTTTCGTACCCATGAAGATGGCTTCAAACATGATCTTGGGTTCATGTTGCGCTACATGTAACCCCACCGAACTGTTCTGTGTTTGTGAAGTCTTTCTAACTGTTCTGTTTTGACACCGTCACCTTGATAACTCGTTATGATCTCTCTACCTCAATTAGTTTGTACAGCTTTGGATTACTTGTTACTTTGAATAGATGTCGTCATGCTACTCTTATACCTATCAAGTTATTCCAGCATATGGTTTGTCTCTAGCACCATCTTATTATTGATTTTTTTGTAATTATCTCGCTGCCTAAAGTAATTGGATCATAGATCATCCCTTCACTTACTATTCAGCTATTAACACTTTACTCATGCCGTTTGACACTTTTGATCACTGGCAAAGACTTGTTATTCAGCCTGTCGACACTCCACTCACACCATTTGTACTATCTTCTGATACTCAATTATGTAAAATTTTCCTGAAATGATTGCCCCGCCTATAAATTCTGTCCCCGTGCGCATTCCCTCCACTTCAGCTGATGACAGAGCAGCACTCTGAAAGCTTGTGATTTCAAATAAACCTGGATTATAACCTGGCGTCGTGTGACTTCTGACATTGTCCACCCTAGACCAACACCGGCACATGTACACCATATTTAGGTGTGTAAGCAGGGAAATTTTTGAACTGAAACATCCAGAGTGAATTGTTTTATTTATTGTATTTGAGGCCAACTGTTGCAAGGCGTTGGAAGTCAGCATTACACAGAGATCGCACAATGGTGGTCTATGGCAACTGCAGGTACTGATTCCCCAAGGCAGGTTCATTAAAGCATAAAATTACAGATTTAGAAGCAGTTAGATGCACTGCGTACTGTACAAGTAATTTCTGAAGTGAAACACTGCAAGTGATGATCTACAATTAGAGGGGTAAAACAGGGGAAGTTGATCATCTGCCAGGAGAAGTGGACTCTGCTGAAGAAAGTACAGGAAACTTCAGAAAGTCTTAGGTTTTATGATGATGCTTAGGGTGTGTTGAGTCGATGTCCTCATCTGTAACATGATTACTCAAGTACCCATCATCTGCATCAATGTCACTTTCCTACATTATCTCCATATCCCTTAATGCCATTAAAATATCAATTTCTGTTTTGAACATGCTCAATGACTGAGCTTCTACAGACCTCTAAGGTAGAAAATTTCAAAGATTTACCAACCTGCAATGAAGAAATTCCTCCTCATCTCACTGTTAAATGGCCTACCTCTTACCCGACATTACATTCCCTAGTTTTAGACTCATCAGCCTGAGGAAACATCTCACCTATGTCCTCCCTATCACAGCCTGTAAGAATTTTCTAAGTTTCAATGAAGTCACCCCTCATTCTTTGAAACTCTAGGAAATACAGACCCAATTTTCTCAATCTCGCATCAGAAGATAATTCCGCCACACCAGGGATATGTTGAACTCCTTCAACAGCAAGTATACTCCTCCTTTGAAAAGTGGGACAAAACTGTACACAACATTTAGGTTATGTCTCACCAATTGCAGCATGCCATCCTTATCCAGGCACTCAAATTCTTTTTCTAGAAAGGCTAAAATACCATTTGGTTTTCTAATTATTAGATAATAATAATCCAGAGATCCAAGATAAGGTTCTAAGGAAGAAAAGCAGAAAATGCTACAGAAACCCAGCAGGTCCGGCAGCAACTGTGCAAAGAAATAAAGTTAATATTTAAGTGGGACAGACTCTTCTTCATAGGAAGATAGGAACAGGAGTAGGTCATTCAACCTGTTGAGCCTGAATTTAATTTAATTGATGCTGATTGAATAATTCGATGCCTTTTACCCACACCATAACTCTGATAAATGTTTGATTAACAATGGTGCACAATCTCTACTTCAAATAAGAATGAGCATTTCGAAGAGAATTCAAAACCTTCAAGTAAAATAAAAATGCTCCTCATTTCAGTCCTAAATGGCTTCCCTTCTATTTTTAAATTATGCCTCCTGGTTCTGGACTCCACAGTCAGGAAAAACATTTTACCTACATCTAGCTTGTTTAACCCTTGATATATTTTGTCGGTTTCATAAGATCACTTCTCATTCTTTGAAACTCTATAGAGAGATTACATGCCCAGTTTGCCTAATCTCTCTTTATGGAACAGCCCCGTCATCCCCAGAACAAGTTTGGTGAACCTTCGCACTCACTCCACAGCAAAAATACCTTTCATGAGACAAAATTGCGTACAATATTCCAAATGAGATCTAACCAAGCTCCTACACAACTGAAGCAACATTTGACTACCCTCAAACTCAAATCCTCTTGTGATAAAGCTCCTGTTCCATTAGGCTTCCTAATAGCTTGCTTCACTTGCATGTTAGCCTTCAATGACTTACTGATAAGACCTTAGTACTTCTACACTTTCCATCTTCTCATCATTTATTAAAAACTCTGTACATTTGTTCTTTGTACCAAAGTGGATAACCTCATTTTTCCACATTTCATTCCATCTGCCATATTCTTGCCCAAACACTAAACTTGTCCAAATCCATCTGAAAACATTTTCATCTTCCTCACAACACACATTCCTACGTAGCTAAAAATTTAGAAATATTACATTTGGTCCCCAAGTCCAAATAATTAACATATATTGTAAACAGCTGGGCCCAAGTACTAACCCTTGTGATATTGCACTCATCACAGAATGCCGATGCGAGAATGACCCATTTATTCCTCACTGCTTTTCTGAATCGTTTTGGGAGCATTGGTTCAAGTGGCACCTGGTGAAACATGAATTCAATAGGAACATAGGAACAGGAGTAGGCTAATCAGCCTCTCGAGCCTGTTCCACCAGTCAGTGAGATCATGGCTGATCTGTGGTCTAACTCCATACACCTGCCTTTGGCACGTATCTCTCAATACATTAGATAATTTCAAATTTGAGATAATAAACAAAAATTTAATGACTGATCTAGCATCCACTACTGCTTGTAGAAGAGATGTCGAAACATCTACCATGCTATGTGTAGAAGTGCTTTCTAACATCTCTCCTGAGATGTCTGGTCTGGCCCTAATTCTCAGACTAATTCTAGTTCTAAAATTCTCAAACAGTAGAAATAATTTGTCTTTATCTACCCTGCATTTTCAAGTTAATACCTTGAAGACTTCAATCAGATCACCCCTTAACCTTTTAAATTCTAGAGAAATTCTGGGTCTACTTTGTCTAATCTCTCCTCGTACCTTAACCTCTAAAGTCCAGATATCATTCCTGTAAACCTATGTTGTACTCCCTCCAAGGCAATAAAGTATATATGTAAACATTAGGCTAATGATGACCATGTAATCGTTATAAAAACCCATCTGGTTCACTAACATCCCCAAGGGAAGGGAACTGCTGTCCTTACCGGGTCTGGCCTACATATGACTCCAGATCTACAGAAATGTGGTTGACTCTTAATTAACCCTTGAAATGGTCTAGAAATCCATTCACTTCAAGGGCAACCACGGATGGACACCAAATGCCAGCCTTGTCAACATTCCGAGTTTTAGATCAATTTGAGCAGAGGACTATAACTGAACCTCTTCAGAAAAAGAAATTAAAGCATTCAGCACACAGATAAACCACAATTATACTGACACACTACTTTTTCAACACATTTATATACATGGCCCCAATCATTTGACCTACCGAACTATCGCTAACTGTCCTCTCCTTTCCATCATTTTCATCATCTTCATCTTCATCACTAAATTCTGCTGCAGCATTTTCCAGGAAATTCAATGTTTCCAGCACATCTGCCGAATCCGTTGAAAGTGGTTTAACCTTCTCTCCGGAATTTCTTTAAAAAAATTCAAAACTAAATTATATAATCTTTCACATGTTTTTTAACACAGGCAATCTATGACAGAATTTCTGGGGGGAAAAAATAGCACGCAGTTATTTTGTAAAGGTACAATTCTATAACATGCTGTGCTTCAAATCAAATCCTCTATTCTCAGTGATTCTCAATGTTTTATTCCCCAGATGATGAGCAAACTGGTCCCATATCTGGTCATATATATTCTTCAATAGAGCGGTGGACGCCGTCTATATGGACTTCAGCAAGGCTTTTGACAAGATTCTGCATGGTAGACTGGTTAGCAATGTTAGATCACATGGAATTCAGGGAGAATTAGCCATTTGGATACAAAACTGGCTTGAAGGTAGGAGGCAGGGAGTAGTGGGGGGGGATTTTTGTTTTGTCCTGGAGGCCTGTTACCAGCTGTGTACATAAGGATCGGTGCTGTGCCAATGCTTTTTGTCATTTCTATACATGATTTGGAAGAGAATATAGGAGGAATTGTTAGTAAGTTTGCAGATGACACCAAAATTGGTGGTGTAGCAGAGAATGAAGAAGTTTATCTCAGAGTACAACAACGGACCCTTGACCAGATGGGTCAATGGGCTGAGGAGTGACAGATGAATTTTAATTTAGATAAATGTGAACTGTTGCATTTTGGTAAAGCAAATCAAGGCAGGACTGATACGCAGAATGGTAGGGTCCTGGACAGTGTTGCCAAACAAAGAGACCCTGGGGTGCAAGTTCACAGTTCCTTGAAAGCAAAGTCACAAGTAGACAGGGTAGAGATGATGGCATTCGGTACGCTTGCCTCTATTGGTCAGTGCATTGAGTATAGGAGTTGGAAGGTCATGTTGTGGCTGTACAGGACATTAGTTAGGACAGAATATGGAATACTGCATTCAATTCTGGTCTGCCTGCTATTGGAAAGATGTTCTTAAACTTGAAAGGGTTCAGGAAAGATTTACAAGGACGTTGCTGGGGTTGGAGGGTTTGAACTATACGGCGAGGCTGAGTAGGCTGGGGCTATTTTCCCTGGAGTGTCACAGGCTGAAAGGTGGCCTTATAGAAGTTTATAAAGTCATGGAAGGGCATGCATAGGGTGAATAGCCATGGTCTTTTTCCCAGTGTAAGGGAGTCCAAAAGTACATGGCATAGGTTTAAGGTGAGAAGGGAATGATTTAAAGGGACCTAAGGGGCAACTTTTTCAAGCAGAGGGTGGCGTGTGTATAGAATGAGCTTCCAGAGGAAGTGGAGGAGGTGGGTATAATTACAACATTTAAAAGGCATCTGGATGGGTACATGAGTAGGAAAGGCTTAGAGGGATACGGCCAAATGTTGGCAAATGAGAACAGATTAATTTAGGATATCTGTTGGCATGGACAAGTTGGAATGAAGGGTCTGTTTCCGTGCTGTACGACTCTATGAAATTATGACTCTAACAGACCATTAGAAGAAAGTAAAAGGCTCTTGATGGAATCTGCTCTTCATTTTTCTTTTATTGCAACACTACATGTAATTTTTTTAGATGTGTTTCTCACTTCTTTTGAAGCAAGACTGTCAGGCCTATAGATGCAAAGTTATGTAAAATAATGTCTGGAGTGTAATCACAAACGAAACTAAAAAATAGTCGGCCAAAAACAAAAAAAACAAAAAATCACAAACCAGGAGGAATAGTTACTGTGTTCAGAAACATGCCAAATAATGTTCTTGTATAATCTTATTGCACAAATGCAAGTCATTCCACAAACTGAGTCACTGCTTTGAAAGAGCTATTCAATTTGTCCCACTTAAGAATCATAAAACCACTATGGCAGAGAAGCCCATTACTTGGCACATCAAATCCACGGCAGCTCTCTGTACAGTAATTCTATCAGTTCCATTCCCACCATGCTCACCACATGGCACTGCACAATGCAATTTATTTCCTTTTCAAGTATAACTCTGAATTAAAGCAAAGAAAACACCAGTTAGTGAGGATAACATTCAGCAATTGTTCTTTTAGGGATTATTAAATTATAATTCCAGCATTTTACAACAGGAGCACAATAACAATCTCTTATTTAGCTGTCCTAACCTGTTTCTATAAAATGGAATGTTGAATATAAATCACTTTCCCACAAGAAAATATGTAATAAGGGTAGACTACGTTTCTGACCTGTTAGTAAAGTTTTACATCAAAAAGCTGTTAGCTGGCTTGATCGCAGCAGACCCAAAAAGATCCTCTAATTTAATTTATTAAATCCTGATAACTCACTTATTCTTTCTACCTGACTCTCTCTTGCTCTTGACCACTTCTTCCAACCCTTCTACTACCCTACCTTGACCGTTCCTACCACTCGACGTCTATCTCATTTGTTGCACCTCTCATTCCCTCATTCACTATGTTCCTTTCACTGCCCTCTCCTAAGCCTTCACGCACAACAGAGGCTTGGGATTGGGGCAAATGAACAAGACGGCAAACAGAAAACAGCAATCTAACATTCTTTAATGTTATCGAGTGCACTTTGTGCACAATACTTTGTTTGCATCAAATCCAAGTCCTTTGAAATGATGAACCTTTGATTCAATTGAGGGAAAAAAAATCTTTGCAAAGAAGCTTTAGTCCTTTCAGGTACTTGTTTATAGGGTGAATCATTTTCCTTGCCTTTGATAGTAATGTTAGATTTATTGTTTTCATCAATGAATCCCATGAATGAACTAAGAAAAGGAACACAGACATCGGTGATAGTAAACAAATAACAGCCCAAAAATGGCAAAAATAAATTTTCAACAACTAAGAGATTTTAACTTTACATTAAGGAATATCAGGTTGTGGTCTCTGCTTGTACCATACTAGATAAAATACAGAAACACAACTACTTGTTCCATCCTAAGGAAAAAAGTAAAAGGAGTTTAACTGACTGGGCCAGCATGCAATTCTCATCAATTCTGCAGATAAATCAGATTGTTGTGCCACAGCATCGGAATATGTCTGTCTTTGTTTACAAGTTCAAAAGCTTACCTGTTATATGTTAATGAATCTACATAAAGAAATCTGAATATTACACAAGTGTACAATTCCCAACAATGATAGTATATAAAAGGCTTAGAAATCTTGGATTCAAAGGACAGTGAATTTAACACAAAAGAAATTAAATTTAAATTTTAAACAAAGTAACCACACACCGGTGATAGGAGGTGTCAGCACTTACCCAATCATGTTTGTTCCTTTTATTACAGTTTCTCCACCATTTACAACAGGCTCCAAATTTTTGTTTTCTGATAATTTATCTAGATCACTAGAGAGGCCAAGAAGTGCCCGTGCTCGTTTTGACTTCACATCTATTATGGTGTCTGTATAACCCACCTCCTGTAGGTATCTAGAGAATCAGTGAATCAGAGCAGTCTTAAGCATAATGACCAATATCTTGAAACCTTACCACAACTTGTGCAGCAAAACACACCAGCTACAAACGATGCAATATTTAGAAAAAGAGGAGAATGTACACACCACAAATCCTTTTCTCCACTCTACTCTGCAACGGGTACTGGAAAACGAAAAGTCACTCGTACCAGCTGCAGGGTCAAAGTGATATGTCTCTTCCAGTACCAGCCTCTACAGTCACTAGGAAAATGTAAGCTCCCAGCACAGGGCTATTGTTAACAATTCACCATTCATTACATTGTCTGTAGTAAGACACTCTAGTTTTTTTTTTCTTTAGATTGGCGTAAGGGGGATGGGGTTTGATTTTTTTCAAAAATAAATATACATCAAATACATAACAAAGACGTGCAAATATTACTCTAAATGTAATGTGTAAGCTAGCCCATTTACTGTTAGAAAACAACCAACATCCTATCCAGCATCTTATTTCATTCTGATCTTGAACATAATCATGTTTAATATTAATTCTTTAAAATGCTACAATTTAAATCAAGATGATAGTCTAATATTTTTACTTATCTGAATTAGAATAAGGAAATAAACAGTTCGCAACTTTGATGCTAAGGTGAAACACTGAAGATACCAGAATCACAAAGCATTTTTGAAACAGAACTAAATGCAGATACTCACTGACGAAGGAGCTGTCGCCCTTGCTTCCACGTTAATTGATTATTTTGTGTTGTCTGTATTTCATTTTCATTCCCTTCATCTAGAAAAACAATGATTCAGTCTGAATTCCTCACTCCTCAACTACTCATCAAATAATCTTACTTCAGGAATAATTGGAATCAGATTATTGAGTGGAGACTGTTGTCAAACAAGAGTAAAATGTTGCACATCACCAACTGTATATTTAACCAGGGAATAGCAGAGCTCTTGTAATTGTCAGAGACTGGTAACATGTGTAACATTAAAAAAAGCAGATAGCAACCAATCAATCTTTTCAAATGGTGGTCTATTCTAAGCTTTTAATAAAAAAAATTAAAACCAAAGCTAAACACTTATCTTTGTGGTTGAATTTATACTCATTTCTGCCCTTCCAACATAACCTGAACTGATACATCAGAGCAATATGCAAGGACTGCAGTATTAATTGATAACAGTCTTCTAGGTGGAATATTAAGGAGCATTCTTATCTGGTTGCTCTGACGGCAATAAAATGTTTCATGAGACTTGTTAAAGAGGAGCTAGGTCCCCTAGTATTGGCTTTGAGAGGGGCAGGTCATGCCTCACAAGTCTTATTGAATTCTTTGAGGATGTGACAAAACACAATCGATGAAGGTAGAGTAGTGGATGTGGTGTATGTGGATTTTAGCAAGGCATTCAATAAGGTTCCACATGGTAGGCTCATTCAGAAAGTAAGGAGGCATGGGATTCAGGGAAATTTGGCTGTCTGGATACAAAACTGGCTGTCCAATAGAAGACAGAGGGGTGGTAGTAGATGGAAAGTATTCAGCCTGGAGCTCGGTGAACAGTGGTGTGCCGCAGGGATCTGTTCTGGGACCTCTGCTCTTTGTGATTTTTATAAATGACTTGGATGAGGAAGTGGAAGGGTGGGTTAGCAAGTTTGACGATGACACGAAGGTTGGTGGAGTTGTGGACAGCGTGGAGGGCTGTTGTAGGTTGCAACGGGACATTGACAGCTTGCAGAGCTGGGCAAAGAACTGGCAGATGGAATTCAACCCAGAAAAGTGTGAAGTGATTCATTTTGGAAGGTCGAATTTGAATGCAGAATACAGGGTTAATGGCAGGATTCTCAGCTGTGTGTAGGAACAAAGGGATCTTAGGGTCCACGTCCACAGATCCCTCAAAGTTGCTACCCAAGTTGATAGGGTTGTAAAGAAAGCGTATGGTGTGTTGGCTTTCACTGGCAGGGGAATTGAGTTTAAGAGCCGTGAGACTATGCTGCAGCTCTGTAAAACTCTGGTTAGACCACACTTGGAATATTGTGTTCAGTTCTGGTCACCTCATTACAGGAAAGATGTGGAAGCTTTAGAGAGGGTGCAGAGGAGATTTACCAGGATGCTGCCTGGACTGGAGGGCAGGTCTTATGAGGAAAGGTTGAGGGAGCTAGGGTTTTTTTCATTGGAGCGAAGAAGGATGAGAGGTGATTTGATAGAGGTTTATAAGATGATGAGAGGCACAGATAGAGTGGATAGTCAGAGACTTTTTCCCAGGGCGGAAATGATTATTACAAGTGGACATAATTTTAAGGTTATTGGAGGAAGGTATAGGGGAGATGTCAGAGGTAGGTTCTTCACACAGAGAGTGGTGGGCGTGTGGAATGCGCTGCCGGCAGTGGTAGTGGGGTCAGATACTTTAGAGACTTTTAAGCGACTCTTGGATAGGCACATGGAGGATAGTAAAATGTATGGTATGCAGGGTAGATTGAGCTTAGTAGGATAATAGGTCAGCACAACATCGTGGGCCGAAGGGCCTGTACTGTGTTGTACTATTTTATGTTCTATTGGACAACGTTCAATCCTCAACTAATTGCAACAAAATAGGTTAACTGGTCTTAATTTCATTTGCTACTTCAGACACATCCTTGTGCACAGGTTGGTTCCTCCATTTGCTTGCATAACAGTGACAGGCATGTCAAAAATAATTTATTCATCATGAAGTGGTTTGGAACTTCCTGAGAAAGTGAAAAATGTGATACTTTATAATACAAAACCTAAATGATGCAAGACTATCTAACATGCAACCCCAGATGCTGAACAACTGTTCAGCAGTTGTTACACCTATAGTGCTTCTATTGCTAAGGAGTTGATGCCACTCCTGGAAGTCTAACACACCTGTATGATATAAAGCAGTATTTCCACTGTCAGAACATTGGAGTTGTTTCAAGTAATGTTCCAGGGCCTTGTTTAAATCTTAACTATTTTAAATCATCATTACAATAGTTTAAAGATTTTCAACTTTTAACAATAAATTTGTAATTTGCATTGGCTTTTCACACTTCACTGTCACAATGTTGCATGTATCGTCACAAAGGGAAAATTATTTTTAAAAATCTTGGTGAATTTTATACTCAATTTGATCAACATTGCTGCTGTGAAATAAGCATTTTCCAGTCTTCCAGTACTGACAAAGTGCTCTCACACAATGCATTTAACCAAACATTCTATCATTCTGTGAAAAGCATCTATTATTGTGCAGATATGATTATTTTCATTTCCATATCAAGCCAAGCACCCTGTGAATATTATTGTAATGAATTACGATTATTAATAGAGCCTGACATGGCATAGCCATCACCAAGGGCTGCAATTCTCCCCATGCAATGCAACATAGCATTTTATATTTCTTACAACATACTACCAATGTCTAACACGTCAGATAGCCAGAGTTAGAGAAGCAGCAGGAACCTCATTAATGATCTGTTCTAGCAAGTTTAATCGTTTTAGCGGATTACCAGAAAGAGTATTCCTGCGCACACTTGGAAGTTCCTGACAATTGGCTGTTTCCTTTGGACCTGAGTAAGTTGGGTACATTCTAATGAGGAATGGGTGTGGGCTCTTTAACACAATCAAATATGACATTCTCAACAGAAGATCCAATTGATGAAAAGAAAACTGCACAATTGGTAAACTGGAGCAGATGATCAACAATGGCTGAAGGGGCTTATCATCTGATACCAATGAGTTCTGAAATCCCTACTTGTTAGGAGCTGGTTTGAAACACGCAAAAGTCATTTTCATACTATCAGACAGAAGAAACGTTTAGGTCATCAATTATGGTTGGATTCAAACCTGGTTTCCAAAATCAAAAGGTTACAATTTCATCAATTGTGGTACTTATTATCAAAACAGAATCATAAGATATTCATGCCAGTTTGCAACTTTTACTAGTGCTTTAAACAAAACCTTTCAGTCTTGAGTCCAGACAGTCATAGAGTCATACAGCAGGGAGACAAGATCCTTCGGGCTAACCAGTCCATGCCAACTATAATTCCAAACCAAACTGGTTCCACCTGCCTGCATTTGGCCCATATTCCTCAAAACCATTCCTATTCACGTACTTATCCAAGTGTGTTTTAAATGTTGTAACTGGAGAGAAATAGCACAAAAAAACTTGTAGCTTAACATAATCAATCGGCATTTACAAATGACTAAGAAACATACATTTCTAGCTTTATGTTACTACTCAAGGAAGGAGTTTATAACCTACATTTTCATTTTAACAACTTAAAGTATTTAATTATTGAAGTTTTGAGGTGTGTGGGACTCTGTGGCAGGATGCAGTTGTTTTGATGCACAGCAAAGCTTACATTTTCTCTCTTGTTCATTACACAGGAAGATGGCATAAAATGCATTGAACTGTGTAGGATAACTGCATATGAAGGAAACGGGAAGTAAGGAAAAGATGAGAAGCAACACGGAGGATGAGGTAGTACCACAGGGGTACCAATGTAGAATTCAAGAAAGGAGAAACAGAAAAAGTAGTTACCCATAGTGCAGATTATAAAGTCAGTGCAACAAAGCCTGCTACAGCAGAAAAGGGAAGGAATGTAGAATAACTTGAAATTGAGAACAAGGTTTCTTAAGTCAATGCTTTAAGGCACAAGAAGCCAATGTTGCTTGGAAAAGCTGAGGATGTTGACACTGTGCAGATGAAGTATTCTGAATCATTTATGATTTGTCAAGGTCAAAGGAAAGAAAGTCAGTTAGGAGTGATTTATACAAGTTAAGCTAAATTGGAAAAGAGCACAATCATGTCATGACTCACTGGTGCAGTGCACTGCACTGGAAATCAAGCCTGGTTATTCCCAGAGTTATTACAAGTTAAAGATTTTAAGAAGTAGGCAAAATCCTCATTCACTGGCCTTCTAAATCCAGAAGGGCAGAAAATATGCACCAGGTTTCTGTACTTGGCAAAAGCTACTATTTACTGCAAGTAAATAAATTCTAGCTAGAGGTAAAATAATTCAGTGGTTCCTGTTCACAAGGGCTGCTGAGATGGTTCTTATTATACTTGGGCTGGCCAGAATGCTGCTTCTTAGCCATCCTTTTCTGGAAGCTTTCACTGGTTTCAAAGATTCATCGGGTGACTGGTTCACTTATAAAAGGTCTCTGACTTATCAGTTAAAAGTCACAGCTTATAACAACTGCTGAACCAAAGGAAAAATGGTTTTCTTCAACTTAAAGTGGCTTTTTCTGGGGTGAATAGAGAGAGTTCCTGAACTACTGGCTGCCTGAACGCATCTCCGTATTTTGTTCATAATCCCAAGCTGTTCAGCTCCCTGAGAAACAGTCACATAATTATTGGCAGGCAGAAGACCTTTGCCATTAGTTAACAGACTATTGTCCAGTTATCAATCGGCTATCAACCAAAGCTCCATTTGTGCACAACACTTCAGCTCCAGTTTGTCTTTAAACTTCTCTGACTACTAGCAGCAAACATTTTATTATCCAGAACATATGGGACCAGGAGTGTGCCAACTGATCAAATTTTCCTGAAAATCGAAAGGTCCACGTAATCAATGCAAAAACACACACCAATAGAAATGAAATGCAGGGGGTATAGACATCATGGTTATACTTGATTTACAGCATAAATCACTTAAATAATAATGCAACTTTTTCTTAAATAAGACTGACCAACAGACAGCCTTCTCACTCGCAAGCTCAACTCACTACTTGGACATTGTGGTACATTGTGGTATTTGAGGAGAAATTGACTTGAAATTGAATCAACTGTTGATATTTGGTGTGGCCATTTGATTGAACAACAAATATATTTATACTGAGGTAAATAAATTAAAATTCTGTAATAATTGGACAGAATAATACAGCAAACTTTGCAGTGTTTGAGGTATATGTGTTTTGTCAACTTTAATGAAGAGAGCCAGTTAATAAGGTGCCGGTTAAAACAAAGTTTGCTGTATTCACAATGAGTGTCAGATTTCTTGTTTTCAAAAACATGCAGAAATCTTTGTAACTAAAACAGTTTTAAAACAGTTCTTTTGTCATTTCTGCCCAAAATTGAAAACAAAACACAAAAATAAGAAGGCAAGGATTTTACACATATTCCTTTCATGTTAGTACAGGAAGGGGAAAGAGCAGATGAACGCAATGCTGTGGAGGTGCAAGAAAGTGTACTTGTTAACAGAACAATTATGAAGGAAATGCAGGTTAGGGGTCAGTATAATGATGTTTCACAGCTTCTGACTTACCTGGAAGTCATAGCCTCAACTGTTGACCGTATCATATTCCCACTCACCAACTTACAATTTGTCAATCATGAGTGGGTCCTTGTTTCTCAGTGCAATTCTCAGTACAGGATACTCAAATCTTTTACTGGCCTCACTTTTCTCAACTTCTTTTTAAATTCATTCATGAAACGTGGGGATCTCTGGCTAGGTTAGTGTTTGTTGCCCATCCCTAATTATCCTAGAGAAGGTGGTGGTGAGCTGCCTTCTAGAAACATTGCAGTCCCTTATCCTATCTGTGCACAGTGGTGATCCAATGTACATTCTCTTTCTCCACAATGACCTCAGGTTCTGTCTTCCTCCATTTTACCAAATGACAAAAGCTTAAAGTAACTTACTTTCTCATCCCAGAACATCCTCATTCTTGCTATACCCCTTCCTATTTCAAAAGCTATTAGCACATACTTGCTCTCCAACATTCTTCCAACACTTGCTTGAGCCAATCCCAAAATAAAATGTTTTTAGATACAAGAAAAACCTCAAGGGGCCTGCATAAATAGAAGTTGTTCTTGTATGTTTAAAATTGTATTTTGTTCATTTTTGCTCCAGAGAAGACATGTTGAGAATTAAATATATTAAAAATTCTGGCTTTTTCAACTGCAGCCCAAACTATTTTGACAATTATGTACAAGAGGTCCATTATGCATACTATTTTACACCTGTCTATATTAAATGCCAGTAGTTCACCAACTTACATATTTAATCCAACAAACTTTGTTAATTTCAAAGCCACTTCCTCAGATTCACTTGAGCACTTTGCATTGCTGACAAATCTAACCATTTGACACTAAGCCACTGAACCGAGATGGTTGATGTAAGCTCAGTCACAGTAGGTGCCAAAATACCAACCTTTGCGGCAGTCCATTCAGTAAAGGCCCTCCCTTAATCAATCTATAATCTCATGCTTCTGATATGCCACTGAGGGGAACCATATTTAGGAACACCTGTAGGTAAACCTAGGTCTGCTCAGTGGTACAGCAGAGGCGAGTGTACAATGGGGGGCTGTGAGAAGAAGAAGCCAAACTGAAAAAAAATTAAATATATATTCAAAGGTCAAAATGAAGAAGTAGCTTCTACCACTATGCATTCCTGAATTCTTAGAAATATCACACCTCATTCATGAAGATCAGAGGATGTTTCGTTCTACTGTCCCATATAAATACATGCTAGTATTTAATAATTTGAACATTTATAAAGTCAGAGATGTACAGCACGGAAACAGATCCATTGGTCCAAATCATCCATGCCAACCAGATTTGCTAAACTGATCTAGTTCCATTTGCCAGCATTTGGCCCATATCCCTCTAAACCCTTCCTATTCACGTACCCATCCGAAATGCCTTTTAAATGTTCTAATTGTACCAACCCTCCACCACTTCCTCTGGCAGCTCATTCCATACATGCACCACCCTCTGCGTGAAAAAGTTGCCCCTTAGGTCCCTTTTAAATCTTTCCCTTCTCACCTTAAACCTACACACTCTAGTTTTGGACTCTCCCAACCCGGGGAAAAGCCCTTGTCTATGACCCTATCCATGCCCCTCATGATTTTATTAACCTCTATAAAAGGTCACACCTTCAGCCTCTGGCACTCCAGGGAGAATAGCCCTAGCTTATTCAGCCTCTCCTTATAGCTCAAACCTTTTGCTTTTACCTTTACTTTTCTGAACAGATACTTAGTGGATGTAACGCTTTTGCAGCAACTTACAGAACCTTCTGCATTTTTCAATCTAGTTCATTCATTTATTTCTTGCATACACTTGAAAGTTTAAAGCTCATAGCCAAATATAATGCTTGTCTAACTCAGCATTTCACAATTCAATGGCAAAAGCAGTTTAGTTATATTTAGATAGGTTTGCTACTTTTTTGTAAAATGTTATCTTCAGCATTCATATCTTACCAGAGTCATAATTTGGAGGCTTCATATCCCCTTGATTTAACTCTGTTCCGTATTTCAATCTATGGTGTTTAGCTCTGAAAGAAATTTGCAAAATGTTTATTATTAGGATTGTAAAACATCTGTAGAATTGTGTTTTTAAAACTAGAAACCAACAAGTTGCCCTGAATCTATGCAGCACACACAAATCCTTTGGTAAGCAAAGCAACATCCAGAACAGACAAAAAAAAATTACAGCAGAGAACTATGGAAGTAAAAGCAAAAGAACAAGTCGAACTCAAGAGAAGAATTTTTAAAGAACTGAATAATTACATGTAGCTAAGTTAGATTCAATCTCCAAGTACAGTAGCTTGGCACTGTAACTGAACATGAGAAATAAGACTAGGAGTAGCCATACTGCCCTTAGGTATCTCAGTTAAGATCTTGGTTTTTAATGTTTTCAACTCTTGAACACCTTTACAATTCTCAGGGGCAGATAATTCCAAAGATTCACAACCCTCTGAGTACAGTCACTTCTCAATTTCAGTCCTGAATTGCCTCATGGCAGAACGGAAATTCGTGCTCTAAACTCCAGAGCTGGTCTGTGGGGTGGGGTGGGATGGGTACGATTAAAATGTTGCAATGTTGCAAGTCGGTGGACTTTAAAGAACGCCTGAATTCTCTTGTGTATTAAAGCAGGTATCAGAAACCTTTCTTCAATTGGCACTCTGAAGAATTTCTGTACCACATACAAAAAGGTATAATTTTTTTTCCAAAGAATAAATAGGAGGGCATCGTCGATAAAAAGCCATGCTACATGATCTCAATATCACTCTTCCCTCACCTTCAAGTCCAGCAGTTAGAGACTAAATTTTTTTAACTCTGTATTTTATATCAAAGCCTCTTAAGGTCTCTGTTTAAAGCACAGAATCATACAAAGTTTTTGTTTTTATTTGCCTGTTTACTTAGTCAATGTTCATTACATTGTCCAGCTATTTTATTGCAAATGTGATATATTTGTTGAATGTATTTCTAGCTACCAAAGTCACACAAATGGCAGTATATCCCAGTCAGCCAGATACAATTGCAAGGCTTCTTCTCCTGTTCCTTATACTGAAATGCATCATCTAACACTTTTCCACAGTTTATTTTTGCTATTTATCCACCCTTCCCTGGAAACCTGTTTAGATCCTCTTGCGTTCTGTCTTCATCATTAATGTTATCCCCCAATTTGGTGTCAACTGCACATCTTGGCACCATACATCCAATTTCTTAGTCCAAATCATTTGAGAAGGTGATGAACACTGATCCAAGCACCAAATATTGAACGTACACCACATCATCACTTCTGAGTAATGCAATACATTTGCCTCAATTCTACAACGTATGGTTCATTTTTGTAGAAGAAGGGTCTCGGCCCGAAACGTCAGCCTTCCTGCTCCTCTGATGCTGCTTGGCCTGCTGTGTTCATCCAGCTCTACACCTTGTTATCTCAGGTTCACTTTTGTACCTAACTTTCAGTATATTCCAAAACCTTATGAAAAGTATTCTGTAAGTGCACGCACAAAAGCATACTGGTTATCTTACTAGATTAATATCCAGAGGCCAGCCTAATGGTCTGGGTCATGACTTGAGAACCCACTAATGACAACTGAATAATTTCAATTCATTAATATATTCGAAATTAAGATCTAGGATCAGTAATCTAGTAATGATGACCACAGAACTTATCATACAACTCCATATTGTTCACTAAAGCCCTTTAAAAAGGAAACCAGTTGTCCTTGCCTGATTTGGTGTGCATGCGATTACAGACCCATAGCAAGATGATCTACTCTCAAACGTACTCTGAAATGGCTGAATGAGTTGTTCAATAACATACAACAGCTGCACATCTTCACCTTTTCCAGGAGCAATTTGATGATAAATAAATGTTAGCTTTGCCAGCAACACCCACATTCCACAAATCAATACAAAACAAAATACATGGAATTAACCTGATCTTTCTTTAAAATTTTAATAAGGTTAGTGAAATGTGATCTTTTTAGAATGCATGTGAACTCTGACTACTGTGACTATTAATAAAACTATATAACTGGGTTAAGTTCTTACTTTTGGAAAGGACTCTACATATGTTAGTCAGCTCTCTAGCAGTATTCCTATCTGTACTGAGCTTTAATAGTGGTGCTTTACTCAGCTTTAGTGGTGGCTCAGTGGTTAGCACCTGCTGCCTCACAGTGCCAGGGACCCAGGTTTGATTCCACCCTTGGGTGACTGTCTCTGTGGAGTTTGCATATGCTCCTGGTGTCTGTGTGGGTTTCCTCTGGGTGCTCTGGTTTCCTCCCACGTTCCAAAGATGTGTAGCTTAGGTGGATTGGCCATGCTAAATTACCCCATAGTATCCAGGGATGTTTTGGTTAAATGGGTTAGACATGGAAAATGCAGGGGTAGGAGAATGGGTCTGGGTGGGATGCTCTTCGGAGGGGTGGAGTGGACTTGTTGGGCTGAATGGCCTGTTTCCACACTGCAGGGACTCTATGACTTTATAATGGATAAAGATGTCTATTCTCTTTCGTCAAAGAAACCCACCTGCCCAGATATTTGTGCTGCTCACACCACTGACAGCCAGTCACAAAGTGTTTTCATGGGCTATAGAGAAACTTGTTCAAACCCACAATCTGATCCAGGATGGCACCCCCTAAAGGGGCACTGTGACATCTTGTGAACATGACAAGAGACAATATGGTTCTTCAACCAATGGATTAAAGAATCGTCATTGAGGCTTGCAGAATCTAAAGCAGGGAGCATAAATTAGATTCAAGTAACACGCATGAGGCAGAATAAAAGATTGGGAGAAACAGACAGGATTAACAGAGAGATAGAAGACAAATGACCTTTCTAAAATCTCCAATACTGATTAACTTATGAAGAAATGAGACTCCAAATTTTCAAACTTAAATCTTCAAAGCCAAGGAGATTGATAAATACTGCCAAACAATCACCACATCATAAATGTGCGCCTTACTCCTGAAAGGACCAGCCCCAACTTTTTTTTTTGCTATACTTTGCAAAGAACCCATTGTCAAATATCACAACTTGATGGCTCTGCATGACTTTCAATACCACATTTAACAGCGACAACTGCTATGGTATACTGTGAAGAAGAGTAAGAAGTATCTTGGATGGTACCTGTCAGAGTTCTATGTTTAACTGTGCAAGTGTGGATGCCATAAGTCCATAACTCTTATAACAATGAGCAATGCTAGCATCACCATTATTATTAATGCAAAGTCCAGGCCCTAGTTTATTATTTGTGAATGCAATACTTCTGGACTAATGCTGAATTCAAGGATGCTGCTACTCACATTTTTTTTGTTATTTCATAGGATACATGTGTTATTGCCAAAGCCAGTAATTTGCTGATCATCCCCAACTGCTCTCGATAAACTAGTGGTGATCCACCTAATGAACTACTGGTCAATACCAAGGAGTCAGAAACTGAACTGAGCCGGCTATTTAAATAAAAGCAATATAAATACAAGAGTAGCTCACAATTCAGCAGCAATTAACTTACATTCTAACTCCCTAAAGCCAGGAGTGTATTAGAACACAGTCCACTTGTCTACATGAGTGTAGCTCTAACAATTAAGCTGCCCAATAGCAACAGGACAAAGCAACCTACTTGTTTGGTACCCATGAACCTCCTAAATCCTTATGTCCCTCTACTGGTTGGGCATACCTGCAGTGGTGTGCACAGTCCACAAGATACACTACAGTACCGCACTGAGTTGCCTTTGACAGTACCTCCCAGTTTCTGATCAACGGTAATCCACGGGATGTGAATAGTGCAGGATTCAGCAATGGTAATGCTATTAAACATAAAGGGGAAATAGCTAGATTATTTTTTGTTGCAATTGGTTATTGCCTTGTACTTCTACAGCACAAATGTTGCCTGCCACTTATCAGCCCAAATCCAAGTGTCATTCAGGTCTTGCTGCATGCGGGTTGTAAGAACATAAACAGGAGCAGGAGTAGGTCATTGACCCTTTGACCATAAACAGCCCAATATTCAGTAAGATCATTGTTCACATGATTGTGGCCTCAACTCCACTTTTCTGTCTGTACCATCAAAACACATGACTCCATTTTCAAAATCCTCTGCAATTGAGCTGTCAGGCATATGCAGAATCTTACATATTTCTAAACTCTCATGTGTATAGGCCCAATCTGCTCAATGTTTCCTCATAAGATAACCCATTCATTATATGAATCAGCCTGCTGAACTTTCTCTAAACCTCTTCTAATGCAAGCATATCCCTCCTTAGTAAGGTGACTAAAACTGTAAACAGTACTCAAGGTATAGCCTCATCAATGCCCTGTACAGTTTGTAGTACAATTTTCATCGCTTTCATCTTAAGCTCTTGCAATAAAGGCCATGCTATTACCTTCATAATTGCTTGCTGTATCTGCACGGTCATTTTTAGTGATTCGTGTAAATGGACATCCTCAGCAGCATTCTGCGGTTCGATAATAAGACCATAAGAAATAGAAACAGGAGTAGGCTATTCAGCCCCTCAAACCTGCACCGCAATTCAATAGGATCATGACTGATGACATGTCTCACATCCACTTTCCTGCCTTTTCCCATTTGATTTCCATACTGATCAAAAATTTATCTCAGCCTTAAATATACACAAGGACTCTGCCCCATTGCAGTGTCACAGTGGCAAGGAGTTCTAAAGACACTCAACACTCAGAAAAAATTCCTCCATGTCTCAGTCTTAAACTGGCACCCTTTTATTCTGAGACGATACCCTTTGTGCTAGACTCTACACAAGGGGAAATATCCACTCAGCATTTACCCTGACAAGTCCCTTAAGAATTTTACATGTTTCAATGAGATTACTTCTTATTTTTCTAAATTCCAATGAGTAGATTTCCAACCTGTATAACTTTTGCTCATAAGGCAACGCCTCATTCTACTTTTCTATTCCTGTTGCCAAAGTGGACAACCTCTCATTTTCTCACAATATACTCCATAATTCAAATATTTGCACAATTAACCCATCTATATCACTTGTACACACTCTTCACATATTGCTTATCCACCTATCTTAATATAGTCAACAAATTCAGTAAATTGTGTGGTCCAGAACTGATTCCCATGAATACTGACGTTTTAGGATCTGAGGAACAGTACTTCCTCTAAGCTGCATAGCGACTCAGATTCCTGCAATTGTTGAAAATTAATTTGAAAACTGAGCTTAGTGAGGTGACCATACTTTTCTAAAGATGCAGATAAGCACACACAGATCTGAAACTAGATAGTCAGTTATGAGTGGCTAACCTCCAAAATCCACCAAGTTGCTTCACTAATTCAAGTCAGGAATGATATGGAAAACTTCCTTGGATGGACACAGCTTCACAACACTTGGGAAGTTTAACATCATCCCGGATTAAGCATCATTCTTTAGTGGCATTTCATCCACTGCTCTGCAACCAGCATACTGTGGCTACAGTGCACACTACTCAAAGTATGTACTGCAGCAACTCGCCAAGTCTCTCAAACAGCAGTGACCAAACTGTTGAACATGGGCAGCAGGTGCACAGGAACACTATCACCTCCAGAAGGAAACAAATCTCAGCTTGAGCAAATATCGCTGCTTTGTTCAATGTCACTGGACTGCCTGCCTAACAGCATGGTCAAAGCACAATCAAAGAATCTCCAAATTCTAGAAACAGCTAGCGTTGGGTAAATGAATATTAACTTTTGTAACAATTTACTAAATCAAAACTCTCCATGTGAGAGCTAATAACAGCAAAGTTTTAATTGAAAATACCTAACAAAGAAACTGGTAGCAAACTAAGCATACACATAACCAAACTCTCCTGCATCTCTTCTTTACGAAAGGTAGCTATCAATGACAGGAAATGCCTAAAGTATTGAAATAAATTGAGCTCAAGTGCTTGACGTTCAAAAATAACCAAATTGGTTTGTAGCTTGCTTCCGAACGCCAGTTGAAAAGGAAAAAGAAAATCTATGGAGTCAACAGTTTCAAAATCCTTAAAGGAGTTTTAAGATTTCACTGTAATTATCACAGAAAACATTCATAGAAGTGTAAAATAATGTTGATGCCAGAAATCGGAAATATACATGGACACTGCTGGAAACACTCTCAACAGGTCTGGCAGTGTTTATGGAGCGAAAAATAGAGCTAATTTTTCAGAATGATGAAGGGTTAACTCTGTCTTTCCCTCCAGATAGTACCAGAATGTTGAATATTTCCAGCATTTTCTGTCATTATTCTCAAATGTATAAACTTGATGCTTTTTCATGGATATGAACATGAAATGAAAAGTGTCATTTATTTGAAAAATTTTTCTCATTATGTGAAAATCAGTACAGCGAGATACAAGTCTGTATGAGTTTACAATATTTATTTCACAAGAACAGGAATCTTCAGACTGAAGGACTTAGAAGTGTTTTGTTCTACTGTGGTAGATTTTTGTTATATCTGGAGTGTAGTCATTAAAGAAGTCACACCTTTCCTGTTTTAAAGCATATTCAAGCATTTTAATTCTTCTAACCAAATCCTTCTTCAGGTTCTCCTGGCCTTTTCTCTCTCCTTGCAAGAATGAGATCTGTGCCTGAAATGATAAAGAGGAGCATCAGCCATCTATATTTGTAAGGAAGAGAAAGATTTAGGTTAACAATTTTAAATCTCAAAGCATTTGAAAACATTTGTCTGGCAAAGTAGTAATATACCAACTCACAGATAAAATTAACAGTCACTATACAGGATGCAAACGCAGGTCATTAAACTGAATTATCAAATCAAAGTTTTAATCATATGCAGTAAAAGATTAATCACATTCAATTATTTTACCAACTCAATTTGCAGTATAAAAAAATCTTTAAGGTGAGCAATGAGGCAAGGACGTAACATTTCATATCAAGATGCTGTACCACTAAAATGGAGAACCATCATCTCTTAACTGTGGAAAAGGAATGCCTTTTCACAGGAAGCAAAACTGCACTGTTGTATAAATTACTGACAATACTCAATTTGGCTACACCTTCCTCATCAATCTTTGTCCATAAGATGTGAAAGGATACAGCGAATTGGTTTTTAATTTTTATTTCAAGTTCCTACTCAAGCATTGAAAACTATATAATTAATTTGGAATTGGTAATACAGATTACAGGGTTGCAATTGGGTTGCAGACATTGATGTGTTACTTCAGTGTTATGACATATTGGCGATGTCACTATAGATTGGAGTTATGGGTAGAGTCATAGAATCATACAGCACGGAAACAGATACTTCAGTCCAACGGGTCCACGCCAACTAGTTTCCAAAACTGAACTAGTCTCATTTGCCTGCATGTTACCCATATCCTTCTGAAACATTCCTACTCATGTACCTGTCCAAATGTCTTCTAAATGTTGCAAGTGTACCAACTCTACCACATCCTCTGGCAGTTCATTCCATATACACATCTCTGCAAGAAAAAGTTGCCCCTCAGACCGCTTTTAAATCTTTCCCCTTAAACATATGCCCATTAGTTTTGGACTTCTCTACTCTGGGGAAAAAGACCTTTGCTATGCCCCTCAGTTTTATAAACCTCTATAAGGTCACCCCTCAACTTCCTTTCTCTAGGAAGAAAGTCCCAACCTATCCAGCCTCTCCTTATAACTCAAACCCTCCAGTCTCGGTAACATGCTTGTAAATCTTTTCCGTACCCTTTCTAGTTTAATAACATCCTTCCTATAACAGGGTGACCAAAGCGGCCTCACCAATATCTTTACAGATGTAACAATGATACCCCAACTTCGATACTCAATGCTCTGATCATTGAAGGTAAGTGTGCCAAACGACTTCTTCACCACCCTGTCTACATGAGACACCACTTTCAACGAACTATATACTTGAACCCATAGGTGTCTCTGTCACCTCTGGGTTGAGTTTTAAGTCCTGCATTGCAGAGCCCTCACTATTTATTCTGCCAATAATTTCATATCGATGCAATGGTTGATAATCATATAATTGCAGCAGTTCAAATATTCCTTCCCGAGGAAAATCATATCAAACCCAATAGACGGACATACCAGTAAATAGCAACTGGTTGTTGGTATATCAGGATATTTATTTTTCAAGCATAAAACAGAGTACAGATTAAAATTGTATCATATAGACTTCAAACTAATTGCAAAGCATCTGGAATAGACAGATTTTCCTTAAAATCTAGAAATGAGTACTTAAAAATCAATGGCGAAGTTTCATATCCAGCCATGATAATGTTATTTCACATCAAGCATTAACAATTCATATTAAGGTTCACCGCTGTCCTTCAGGGAAGGAAATCTGCCGTCCTCTCTTGGTCTGACCAAGATGTGATTCCAGAGTCACAGTGATGTGGCTGACTCTCAACTGGCCTCTGAAATGTCATCACAAGCCACTCAGTTGTATTAATCGCTATGAAGTCTCAACAAAGGAATTAAACCAGATGGACAACCTGGTATTGACCCAGGAACCAGAAATGACAATGGGAAAATAGCTCAGCAGGTCTGTCAGCATCTGTGAACGAAAAAGCATAGTTAACGTTTCGGGTCTGGTGACCCTTCCTCAGAACCGAAACGTTAACTCTGTTTTTTCCTTCACAGATGCTGCCAGACCTGCTGAGCTTTTCCAGCAACCTTGTTTTTGCTCCTGATTTGCAGCATCCACAGTTCTTTTGGTTTTTATGGGAAAAATAGCCCTGTACACCCAGTAAAGTCCTCCTTACCAATTTCTAGGGGTTACTGCCAAAATTGGGAGAGCTATCTCACAGACTAATCACGTAATAGTATAACAAAGTCTTACTCTTAGAATCATACCTTAGAGACAACATTCTCAACAACATCATCACCACCTTTGAATATTCCTGTACCACTGGCAGCACAGATCCAGCACAGGTGGTGGAACTATGGTATACAGTCAGGAGGGAGTTGCCCTGGGAGTCCTCAACATTGTCTCCAGTCACATGGATTCAGGTTGATCATCGGTGAGATCTCCTGCTGATTACCACGTACTGTTCTCTCTCAGCTAATGAATCAGTACCCCCTCAATGGTGAACATACCTGGAAGAAGCACTGAGGGTGGCAAGGGCACACAATGTACTCTGGGTGGATGTCTTCAATGTCCATCACCAAGAGCAGCACTACTGATTGAGCTGGTGGGGTCCTAAAGGACATAGCTTTTCGACTGGATCTGAAGCAGGTAGTGAGGGAAGCAAGAGGGAAAAACAGACATGACCTCATTCTGACCATTCTGCCTGCTGTGGATACATCTGTGCATGATAGTACTGGTAAGAGTGGCCACTGCACAGACTGTGTGGAGTCAAAGTCCCATCTTCACATTGAGAATACCCTCCATCGTGTTGCATGGCACCATCATCATGCTAAATGGGCTAGAATTCGAATAAATCTAGCAGCTCAAGACTGAGCATTATTGACATCAACAATAGCAGATTCATATTCCAACACAATCTGCAAACTCGTGGTCAAGCATATTCACCACTCAACCATTACCATCAAGCCACAGGATCAAAACTGGTTCAACAGAGAGGAAGGCAAGTAAAGACCCAGTACTTCAGTTCAAAAAGATTATGTTGACCCATTCACAACAAAAGGGATGGGAAGCCTTCGAAAAAATGAGGTAACAAGAGTTCAGAGACAGTATGTTCCTGTTTGGTGAATGGCAGGCCTGGTAGGTGTAAGAAATGTTGGATGACTAGAGAAATTGAGGTTTCGGTCAAGAATAAGAACGAAGCATATGTCAAGTACAGACAGCAGGGATTGAGTGAATCCCTAGACAAATATAAAGGCAGCAGGAGTATACTTAAGAGGGAAATCAGGAGGGCAAAAAGGGGGCATGAGACAGCTTTGGCAAATAGAGTTAACGAGAATCCATAGGGATTCCACAAATACATTAAGGACAAAAGGGTAACTAGGTAGAGAATAGGGCCCTTTAAAGATCAGCAAGCAGCTTATGTGTGGAATTGCAGGAGGTGGGGGAGATACTAAATGAGTATTTTGCATCAGTTTTTACTTGGAGAAGGATATGGAAGACAGAGAATGTGGGGAAATAAACAGCGACATCTTGAAAAATGTCCATATTACAGAGGTGGTGGTACGGGACATCTTAAAATACATAAAGGTAGATAAATCCCTGGGACCTGATCAGCTGTACTCTAGAACTCTGTGCAAAACTAGGGAAGTGATTGCTGGGCCCCTTGCTGAGATATTTGTATCATCAATAGCCACAAGAGAGGTGTCTGAAGACTGGAGGTTGGCTGACATGGTGCCAATATTTAAGAAAGGTGGGAAGGAAAAGGCAGGGAACTTGGTGGGCAAGTTGTTGGAGGGAATCCTGAGGGACAGGATTTACATATATTTCGAAAGGCAAGAACAGATTAGGGATAGTCAACATGGCTTAGTGCATGGGAAACCATGTCTCACTAACTTGGAGTTTTTTGAATAAGTAACAAAGTGGACTGATGAGGGTAGAGAGGTGGACGTCATCTATATTGACTTCAGTAAGGCGTTTGACAAGGTTCCTCATGATAGACTGGTTAGCAAGATTAGATCACATGGAATACAGGGAGAACTAGTCATTTGAATACATAACTGGCTTGAAGGTAGAAGACAGAGGGTGGTGGTGCAGGGTTGTTTTTTCAGACTGGAGGCTGCGACCAGGATTGGTGTTGGTGCTTTTTGTCATTTGGACATGAACATAGGGAGGTATGGTTAGTAAGTTTGCAGATGACACCAAAACTGGAGGCGTAGTGGACAGCAAAGACGGTTACCTCAGAGTATTCAGGAGCTGTGCTCCTCCAGCTCCACACTGTTTTATATCTATACCTTAGAATACAACAGAATGTTGATCAGATAGGCCAACGGGCCAAAGAGCAGCAGATGGAATTTAATTTAGATAGATGTGAGGTGCTGCATTTTGGAAAGGAAAATTAGAGCAGGACTTATACACTTAATGGTAAGGTCTTGGGGAGCGTTGGTGGACAAAGAGACCTTGGAGCGCTGCTTCACAGTTCTTGAAACTGGAGCCCAAGGTAGACAGGATAGTAGAGAAGGTGTTTGGTGTACTTGTGTTTATTAGTCAGTGCACTGATATAGGAGTTGGGAGGTCATGTTGTGGCTGTACAGGACATTGGTTAAGTCACTTTTGGAATTGTGTGCAATTCTGCTTTCCTTGCTATAGGAAGGATGTTGTGAAACTTGAAAGGGCTCATAACAGATTCACAAGGATGTTGCCAGGGTTGGAGGGTTTGAGCTATAGGAAGGGGCCGAATAGGCTGGGGCTATTTTCCCTGGATCTTTGGAGGCTGAGGGGTGACCTTATAGAAGTTTATAAAATCATGAGGGGCATGGATAGGGTAAATAGACAAGGTCTTTTCCCTGGGATGGGGGAGTCCAAAAGTACACGGCATAGATTTAAGATGAAAGGGGCCTAAGGGGAACTTTTTGACGCAGAGTGTGGTCCGTATATGGAATGAGCTGCCAAGCGAAGTGGTGGAGGCTGCTACAATTCTAACATTTAAAAGGCATCTGGATGGGTACGTGAATAGGAAGGTTTTAAGAGGGATATGAG